TCGTCTGAGGCACGTTGCATCTTGGTGCGCTGCAATAGCTGATTCACCAAGGTCATCTATTGTGCAAGGGCACTTGTCAACTCTATAATTTGTCGAGACAAGTGTGGTTTGCCATTAGGGTTGGAAGAGTTTGGACGGTATATGTCTCCTTGAGTAGTGGAAGTGTAATGGACTCTGGGCATGAGATTTAAGTTGGAAAATGTCAAATCTGTCAAGAAATAGGGTGAAAATGCCCCCGGTTCAATCGTTGTTCTAGAAATCTAAAGTTAGGATGGTTGAACCGATCTTAGACCAGTTTGGGCTGTTATGAGGGCCACAGGAATGGGCTGCTTCGTATGCAGCGTACGTGGTTGTTGGGCTTGGGCTTGGGCTCAGCTCGAGAGTGCATTAGGTTCGCACTAAGTTGTGGCTCGAACTGGCTCGCTATGAGCTTGGACCCGTGTGGGCTAGAGTGATGTGGCTTGGGCCCTCTGATTTTGGGCTTGGCCTTGGAGAGCACTGGCTTGTGTTGTCCTTGGGCCCGTGAGGTCTAGGCCGCTGCTCCTATCGTAGCTAGTTGATTATGGGCCTGCTTAATTTGGGTTGTGCGAAGCTCCTTTGTGGTACGGGCTTGGGCTCGCTGCTTCAATGTGGCACAAGCCTGGGCTTGTTGCTACAAAGTGACATCTTCATCGTGGGTTTGGGCTTCACCAAAAGCTACTGCCGTGGTTGCGACCATGGTGGTTGGCACAATGGTGCCCCATAGGGGTGGTTCCACTACACTCGTCGTTGCGTTGAGCCTCGTGGATCGCCGTCATCCAAATATTTGAACGTAGGAAGTTCCGTTCATTGTGGCTTCCAAATTTCTAGCCATGTACTTTTCTTTTACATTTTATCAAAGAATTTTTACAAAAAAAATTCTCAAAACAAGAATGTACGAAAAATCTACAAATGAACAAGAAATGAGAAACTTTGAAAGTGAGAGTCTTCTTTGAGCGTGTGAATCAAGACTCTCAATGAAAGCACCATTTTGTGGATGCAAATTTCCGTCTTCTTCTCCTTTGACGAAAATGCACCTGCAAAATAATAACACCTAAGATTATGGCCAAGAGTCTCACGCGCCCACGATGAATGGGGGGGCTTTGGCCGAAGAATTTCCAATGCCAAAGTTAGAAATTTAGAGATAAAGTGTTTAAGGATTTTTAGGTAGAGATTGGACTTAGCTTTTTGGAGAAAAATGGGACTATTTATAAGGGTGTGGCTAGACCTATTTGGAGAATAGGGACCAGCCACTTATGGTGGTTTTATGAGATTAATTGCAAGATATTATGAGAAATGATATCTTGCAATTAACTTGGTAATCAATCCCAATTTAAATAGAATAATTGGGAGTTACCTTTTGGGTAATGATTTGATGAGGAGTGATGAAAGGGTTTTGAATAAATACCATTTTGATCACCTTTGACTCTTCTTTGATTAAGCCGTTATTGTTCGTTGCACGTGCGTGGGAATCCCGGTGTGCCTCGAGGGTAATTTTGTCATTTTAAACCAAAACCCATGTGTCACCTTCATAATTCTCTTGATTATTTTTGGCTCCACAATTATAGTTCTAAATTTTTATTCTATTTATCATAATTTAGAAATCATCTCTGAAAAAAGTTATGAATGCCCCTAACAAAAGGCTGTAAAAATAGAATGATTGTGAAGAGATTAACATAACAATGAAAGAAAGGTTTAGAGAGAGAGCGAAATGTAAGAAGCTGAAATGATTTCTTTGAAAGAAAACAGAATTATTACAGGGTATTTATACTAAGCAATGGTAACAAACTATGCCTATGTGGCAGCACACCTCATCACTACTCTAACTATACCAACAATTCTAACTAACCCAATCAGTAAATGACAGATGGCATGTCAGTTTTATTGGTTGTTACTCCCCCTCAATATCAGCGAGGATAGTCAAGTCTGAGATTGTGATAGTGTTTAATGAAGATTGGACTATGTAAGCCCTTTATAAGAACATCAGCTACTTGATTCTCAGTAAGAATGTAATGAACTGTCACATCCGTCTTCAGCACTCTTTCCCGAACAAAGTGATAATATGTATCCATATGCTTTATCCTTGGATGGAAGACAAGATTTGTACGCAATACAAGTGCAGAGATATTATCATAGTGTAGTGAAGGTGGAGCATCCAAATACTCATGCACATCTTTAAGTATATTTCGAATCCAACAGACATATGCATTGCAATTTTCCAATGCCTTATACTACTAAGCCTCAGTTGTGCTTCGTGAAATTGATGGCTGATTTTTCGATTGCCAAGATATGGGATTGTCACCAATGAGTACAATATAACCAGTGATTGAACATCTTGTATTAATATCTGCTGCCTAATCAACATCAGAATATCCATGGACTTGAGTAACAAAAGGTGTATAAGTGAGCCCACACTCTAGTGCTCCCTGTAAATACCTGAGAATTCTCTTGACCAGAAATGAATGTGCATTTATAGGCCTATTCATGAACTGAATACTACATTGCTTGAGAATGCAATGTTAGGTCTCGTGAATGTTAAGTACTGAAGAGCACCAACTATGTTTCTGTAGTAGCTAGGATCAGCAAGAGGAGTTCCTTCTGAAATAAGCAATTGTGTATGTGGTTTTGATGGAGTTAGAGAGGATTTACAGCTTTCCACACCAACCTTCTTGATCAGTTCTTTGGCATATTTAGATTGAGAAATGAAAAGCTCTCCATTTGGCTTATACTGAATGTGTAGACCTAGAAAATAGGTTAGCCTTCCCTTATCCTTCAATTCAAAGCATTTACTGAGTTGAGTGATGGTTTCTTGAATCTTCACATAACCGGAGCCAGTCAATATTATGTCATCTACATATAAGAGTAACACAATAACACATGTCCCATCTTGTTTAACAAACAAACTTGTGTCTGATTGTGATGCAGTGAAGCCAAGAGAGGGCAATATCCCTGTGAACTTCGAATTCCAAGCTCTTGGAGCTTGTTTGAGGCCATATAATGACTTAATCAACCTACAAACATGATTTGGATATCTGTCATCAACAAAACCCTATGGCTGCTTCATATATATATATATATCCTCTTGTAAATCACCATACAGAAATGCATTCTTTATATCAAATTGTCTTAACTCCCATTTGTGATTAGTGGTAAGTGCAAGTATCTATCTTACTGTTGTATGTCTAACCACTAAACTAAATGTTTCAAAATAGTCCAAACCATGCTCTTGAGTGTACCCTTGTGCCACAAGCCTAGCTTTATACCTTGCAACACTACCATCTGAATTTTTCTTTACCTTGTATACCCATTTACTACCAATGATAGTTCGATCACTAGGTTAAGGTACCAACTACCAAGTACCTTGAGATTTAAGTGCATCAAACTCATCTTGCATTACTTGTTGCCAATTTGTATGAATTGCAGCTGATTTAAAATTCTTTGGTTCTTCTGAGTCCATAATGTCATCCAGAAATGAGAAACCTCCATAATTCACATCATCATCATTCAATTGTAAAGATTGAAGCGCAGGCAATATAAATACATATACACTATACTTTTCTAGGAATAGCTCAAGATTGAAATCTAGTTGTCATGGAATGATTTCTTATGAGTGATGAAACAGTATTATCATCCTGTGAATGAGATGGAGAAATAGGGAGCATTACCTGAAGCTGTGTAGGGTCTAGGACAAGCAACAAAGGTGGATATTGATTTTATACTTGAGTAGTAGGTACCATTGTTTCAGATCCATAACTGTAGCTTGTCCCATCTTGATCATGACTCTAAGATGAACTGTTGGATGATGGCATTTCAGTATCTTGTGACTTTGTAGATGATGGTGTCTGGTTTTGAACAGAATTATGATCTGAGAGTGAACTTGTAGTTGCATTTTGATTATTCCCACAATTCAAGTGAATAGTACTTGGTATGTTGCAAAATCTAACAACTATTAGAGCATTTGACATAGATACACCAGTGTTCTGAGAAGTAAAACAGCTTGAAGGAGTGAGTTTTCCTGGAAATACTGACTCATCATGCAATACATGTCTGGACTACTCAATATTATGGAATTAAGAAAATAATATTTTTTTTTTCTTATTTGTCAATCCAATGAGTAAAAAGCCAAACTGCCTACTAGTCCGAACTACGGAAGAGAAACCTCTATTACCTCGTGACCATGACCCATGTAACCACCATATCACAAACATATATAATTATATGATTTGTTAAAAGTTTCAAAGATGGTTCAATGGACCACCATTAATCCACATCTATAATGTTCCAACTTGCCTACTTGTGTAATTCAATAGGTGTGATGTTTTATACAGAAGTCTCAGTGCAATTAATAGTGAAATCATTCATTATAAGGTAATTTAACCTCATGCAGCTTTCTATATAGGATATATGCTTCAGCAAGCCACCTAATTAAGGCCACTCATTAGTCGGTCACACTTGAAGACAATACCACATCAATAACCCTTAATTATTTGATTTGGGTGTCCTAACTTGAGACTTCAAACTTCGGGTTTGTGGTTGTCCCTAACTCAGGACTTCACTTGGGAGTTTTTCATTCGTGGTCACAATTCAAGTGTTACTAATTTTAAGTGTAAAAGAATGTAAAACGTCCCACATAAAAAACCTACAAAATATAATATAATTTATATTGAGTAATTTCACTTTTAATTGCATCGAAACCTTAACGCCACACCTGCTAAGTTAGTAGGTGGTTAAGTTATGGTAGTATCAGTATTTGACCCATTTTGTAAAGGGCGCCCCTCTCTAAAGTTATGATTAAGCCTCATCGCAAAAATACGAGTAGAGGGTGATACGACCAATTTGTGTAGATGATTACTTCTACCAACCTCATTCTCTTTTTCAGCCACCTGATTTTGTTGGTAAACGTCTGGCCACTGTTATTATCAATATGCAGTAGAAAAACCATGTGAAGACCCGATCTCCCAATATTTTAATATTTAGGGTGATTAAGACATCAATTTCTGGCGTTATTTCATTGATTCATAACTTCACATTCACATATTGCAGTCAAACTTGTGTACAACGATTCTATGCATTGCTACTTACATTATAATAACATAGAGCCTATAGCTGTGTTCTTAATAAAGTAGAATGCTAAAACGTAAAACAAAATTAGGATTTAACAACTATAAAAAAGGCCACAATTTTAAGAAATTGAGCTCACATACACATAACATTTGTGATTAGAGCGAGTTTTAAAGAACTGTGCTTTGTTCGATACTGGACAAAGTCCCTGGGCTCAGCAGAGGGAAAGAAAACCAATGATGGGAAGATGGGGACTGCAAATTCAGTCTCAGATAGCTCGAGTCCACCGTGCTATCATGCACCTTCTGATGGCGAGGCATCGGACTCAGCTCCAAAGTATCCGACAAGTCCTTGTACATAACCGAAAATGGTGAGCTAATTTTTGGTGAAGAAGAAGGGACAGGATTTGGTACAGAAGACACACGGATATCGATTGGAGGAGGCGCTACGCTCTGGAGAGACCTAGTCTCCATAAACTCCGGCGCGCAGGTGAGGCTCTGGACAAGCTCCCTGAAATTAATGGGGTCAACTTTGTAGATTCTTGGTGGGGTTGGTGGGACTGGTGCAACCGCAGGCTTCTTCCATGGCTTCGACGAAGATTTTCGAACCGAGTGGAGTGATGACTGGTGATAGGGAAGCTGCTTTGAGTTTGAAATTGAACCCTTCGTGGCGGTGTAGGAGGCTGAAGAGGAAGAGGAATAAGATTCCATTGGGAGTTAAAGTTTGAAACTTCTAGCGTTTATGAGGAGGATTTAAAGAGATTATTTTTGGGGTTTGGTTTTTTCGTGTTATGAAAAATTTAGAAGCACTATATATAGATGGGAAATAAGTAAACAAGGGCGACGACCTTGAAGTGAAGCTATTGGGGAAGGGAAGATGGAGGAGAAGAAGAAGAAGAAGAGGAAGCAAAGAAATTCAATGATATTTTTGGCTTGAGCCGTCGGCTGTGACGACGATTGCATAATGTACAAATTGGTCAAATCAATATATTTGACCATTATATATATAATTCAGCAAATTTAATTGTGCTCCTTTGGGAAAAAAATAATTTAATTGTGTTCCTCCAGTATTGTCTATCTTCGATCTCTGTGGGTCTTTGAGGGTTTTTGATAATGTTTTTGCAGATGGTGGTGAAATGTGGACCAAGCCGCCAATTTACTATACATGAAGGGCCCTTCTAATTAATACACGTGCAACTATGAGTTTGTTCTATCTTTGACCAATAGGCAACACTAAAAATAATGGACAATTAGGCATCCATGAGTGTGATAGTAAAATATCCATTTTGATTTACTCTTACTATTGCATTTTGATTATGATGGATAATACAATCTAACTTTTCTAAAAATTTAAAATAAATAACTATTATTAACGGAGGAGGAAATTTAATATTATGGTGATATTACAAACTAACATAGGATTAGTTTTGTATGGCTGTGATTTAAAAAAAAATGTGGCATAAGCGAGACAACCAAAAATGCGCATGTGGTGGTAGGAAGGTGGTTTTTTGTATGGGATTCCCACCGCCCCCCCCCCCCAAAAAAAATCCCAAAATTTAAGTGGTGATTGGATTGAAAACGAAGGCTTCTAGCTACCTCAAGAAGATGACTATGTTTTCTTTCTACAACACCATTTTGTTGCAGTGTGTAGAAACAAGTGCATTGGCAAATGACACTATAAGCGGCAAAGAAACCTCACACAGAGATAAAATTTCTCCCCCCATTATCAATTGTATTTGTTGGACTTTTGTTTGAAATTACGTTTCAGCGTAAGTAAAAACAATCTTGCAAGGTCTTTCGTGATTCATGTTTATGACGCATAAGAAAAACCTAAGTAAATAGAGAAAAATCATCTACAATGGATAAAAATAATAACCCCCAAACATCACAAAGCAAAAGGAAAAAAAACTCAGACGTTGAAATAAAGCTAGTACCAAAAAATCGACGAGTTTGTTTCGCCAAGGGACAAACTTCACAAACATGACCCGAATCAAAAGAACAATTTAAAAAAGTGTTAGCTAATAGTTGAAGACAGGAAGAAAAAGAGTGACTTAGGCGCCCGTGCCAAAGTTCAGGTGAGGTGATGGGGAGATGAAGGCAGGTTTTTGGGAAAGGGCAATGGTGGTGGAGGCCAATGGAACAAGGTAATAATGGTCACCACCGCGCTTCGTAACACCAATCGTCGTCCTCGAAGCAAAATACACCAAAAGGGAAAAAGGTGATAGAATAATTCAATCCATCAATAATTTTACCAACAGATAAAAGATTGACTTTAAAACTAGGCACACACAAAACATCCTTCATTGTATATTTGAATTTAACAAAATATTGCCCGTCAAGGTAATTGGAGTCGGCAGAGGTAGCATTGGCTTGTGGTGCGGAAGACAAAGGGCAGGTTCTTACAAAGTATGAACAAAATTTTTTGATATTGGCAATCAGGTAAATTTGACATAACGACATGTAGGTCATGAAAAGTTGGGGTCACAACATTGATTTGATTCTTTGAAGGAGGCCGTTGTTGTCGTTATTCCGAGTACAATTGTGAACGAAATAGACAGCCATGACTCTAGTTTACAAGTCTGCATCATTGGGAACACAACAAGAAAGAAAAAAAAAAGAAAATAGAGCTAAGTTTCGCAACCTGCTCTAGATACCATGTAGAAAAATATTTGGCTCAACTACAATATTCATTCATTCTCAAATGTACAATATATGTTAAATACAAATATATGGATTAATTATAAATACACACTAGTTACTCTTTCATACAATGAATATAATATAGAAGAGTTAATGAATCTATGTAGAAGAGCTAATGAACCTAATGTTCATTGAACCTAATTAACTAACATATGGATCCACAATCGATCTTATTCCTACATGATTTTTAACATTAATACTAGTTACCCACTCGTACTTTTTACAGTAAAATAATATTACATCCTCATATAAAGGGGAATGAGTTTTTACACATACAGAAGGAATGACATATACAAAAGAAATGTCCTTAACATAACCTTGTAGCCATATCCATACATAAATTACAATATATCCTATTGTTTATCAATGCATACACAAAAATCTGCCCAATACATTAATGTGATCTTCAATAGAGCATAAGACACCTTTTAACTTAAAGCATAACTACTTATCATGACACTTGTTTTATTATTTTTTGTACAATAATATATTTATATTAAGAGATGAATGGAATATTAGCTTAAAACTTGTCATCCATAAATTTTGAACTTCAAATTTTTCACTTACAAATAAAAATGGAAGGCTTTTTATCCAAAATGATCCCTGAGATTTGCATAACACATCACTTTGTTGTACTTTTATGCGCAAACGGAAGCGAATTATAACAAAATACCAAATATCAACGTCGTCGGTAAAGCTAAAACAAACAATCTCAAACTAACACAAGAGATTTAAATGGTTCGGCATAAAGCCTACTCCACGGGCAAAGCACAGCGAGGAATTTCACTAAACAAACGGAGATTACAAAAGAGTGTTTAAACCTTCACAACCCAAATCCCACAAATTACAAACCATAAACCAAACGAGTAGAGAACTCAAACAAATGGAGAAGATTCTCCCAAATTGCGCTTTAACTCACAAACTAACAAATTGACTCTCACCAAATTGCCACACAAATGAGCCACGCTAAATACACTAACCCTAAGGTCCTATTTATAGTGCATAGGACTTAGGTTACAATAACAATCCTAATAGGAAATAAATCCAAATCATAATCAAGTAGGTAATTAACAAAATATCTCCACCAAGGAAACTAACTAAGAATCAAAACCAAACCCAAATAGGACACCAAAACCAAATAGGTAACACAAACCTAATTTATTGCATCATCATAATTTTGAGCCAAAAACCCAACAATCTCGACATTGGCAAGAAATTAGCAAACTTCCAAATTTGGGATACCAAAATACAAATACAAACGTGCACCAAATTATTTCGAAACTGATCTCCACCTAGACTCAAAAAAGCCAAAGTCTTTAAACTTGAAATTTCCTCCAACGCCTTCTCCAACAAATTCCATTATAGAAACTAACAAATACGAAACCAAAATCCAAGCAGAAGCTTGAACATACGAACAAAAAGTGCGAATTGCACTACACCCAAAGAGCTTGAGTACCAAGCTCCACCTTCTCACATAACATTTAGAAGAGTTCAGAACAACGATCTTCTGCAATGTTTGCATCAACACTAGCAAAAGACTTATCAAACGACTTCTTTTTTCTTCATCACTCCACGAATTCGGCAAAGCATTCACACCTTTTAGCATTTTCAAAAGCCCTTGTTAAACTAACAAAGCACGCATCTTCAATTGTTAAATACCAAAGTCATTGTCGTCAAACTTTTCAATATCAACTTTCACCGACGACACTGAAGGCTTCATAGTGATTGCCAAGCAAAGCCCAAGTTGAAATATGGGGTCTTGTTGATACCAAACGAATTTAATTACCAAAATATATCAAGCTATCAACCGACGAACACCAAAGCCAATCTCGAATTTGATAAAACAAAGAGCGAAAGTGTTTAAACTCTCACAACCACAAATCCCACAAATTACAAACCCTAAACCAAACGAGTAGGGAACTCAAACAAACGGAGAAGATTCTACCAAATTGCTCTCTAACTCACAAATTCACAAATTGACCCTCACCAAATTGAGACACGAATGAGCCACACTAATTACACTAACCGTAAGGTCTTATTTATAGTGCATAGGACTTAGGTTACAATAAGAATCCTAATAGGAAATAAATCCAAATCCTAATCAAATATGTAATTAACAAAATCTCTCCACCAAGGAAACTAACTAAGAAGTCAAAACCAAACCCAAATAGGACACCAAAACCAAATAGGTAACACAAACCTAATTTATTGCATCATCCTAATTTTGAGCCAAAAACCCAACACACTTTGGTCCCTGAGATTCTCTACCATCCATTATTTTGGTCATTCCGTTAAAAATTCCGTTAAGTGTCCTGAAGCTCTTGGCTGTAAGTTTGGGCAATATTCAAAGTTTCGTAACTCAATCGTTTCTTAACCAAATTCGACCCATAATATATCAAAATTCGCTTCCAAATGGTTGCCGGAGATGGCCGGAAAATAGCCTGAAAGGTGACTAGTCAGCGGGAAAACTAGAAAACTTGCCAAAAACTGGTTAAACTTTAAACGTTTATAACTTCTTCAATACTCGACGAAATCAAATGCTTCAACCATGAAAATCATACTTCTCGACGAGACCAAGAGCATGGTACCTTTCTCGAAGGCTAACTCGCTGTGATTTGGTCGTAAAACGGCTCGAAATGGCAGTCTTGGTTGTAGAGTTAGCAACTTTTGAGCCATTTCTGGCCAAATCATGGCGTGTTAGCCATCGAGAAAGGTACCATTCTCACGATCTCGTCGAGAAGTATGATTTTCGTTTTTGAATCACTCGATTTTGTTTAGTATTGAAGAAGTTATGAACGTTTAAAGTTTACCTAGTTTTAAACGAGTTTTCCAGTTTTCCCATGGACTAGTCACCTTTCAGGCTATTTTTCACCCATCTTCGTCAACCATTGGGCTTCCAAATAGGTATAATATTGTTCTACACTTTCCTATCTTCATTTTGATATATTATGGGTCGAATTTGGTTGAGAAACGATTGAGTTACGAAGCTTTGAAAATTGCCCAAACTTCCAATCAAGAGCTCCGAAACATTTAATAGAGTTTTTAACGAAAGACCAAAATAATGGATGGTGGACAATCTCAATGACCATTTCTATTGATTTTCAATCTCAGTGACCAAAGTGATGTGTTATGCAAATTTCAAGGACCATTTTGGCTAAAAACATAAAAAAAATAGGGAACTTTAACGAAAAAATCCTGGTACTCTTCACTTTAACGAAAAACCATATTTTTACACTA